TCAGGACCAGAGGGTTCTGGGTTGGAGTCCCCGGGGGAACCAGGACCAGAGGGTTCTGGGTTGGAGTCCCGGGGGAACCAGGACCAGAGGGTTCTGGGTTGGATCCACTTACGTCTGGAACCTTTGAGGGTTCTGGGTTTGGTTCCTGAGGGAACCAGGACCTTTCTGGGTTGGAGTCTGCAATTCATGCAGGTTTTTGGTGGAATATGATAAGTGAAAGTGTGAATGTTGAACCAGGGAACCAGGACCAGAGGGTTCTGGGTCTGGTTCCTGAGAAAACCAAGACCAGAGGGTTCTGGGTTGGATCCGCTTACGTCTGGAACCTTTGAGGGTTCTGGGTTTGGTTCCTGAGGGAACCAGGACCAGAGGGTTCTGGGTTGGAGTCCCCGGGGGAACCAGGACCAGAGGGTTCTGGGTTGGAGTCCCCGGGGGAACAAGGACCAGAGGGTTCTGGGTTGGAGTCCCGGGGGAACCAGGACCAGAGGGTTCTGGGTTTGGTTCCTGAGGGAACCAGGACTAGAGGGTTCTGGGTTGGAGTCCCGGGGGAACCAGAGGGTTCTGGGTGGAGTTTGGTGGAATATGATGATAAGAAAGAGTGAATGTTGAACCAGGGAACCAGGACCCGAGGAACAGATCCGCTAACGTCTGGAGCCTTTGAGGGTTCTGGGTCTGGTTCCTGAGGTTCTCCTCCTTTTTGCAGGTGCGTTCCTCTTCTGCTGGACTCCGTTCTTCGTGCTGCACATCCTGCGGGCGCGTTGCCAGGTCTGCCACATCCCCCCCGCCCTGATGAGCGCCGTGACCTGGCTGGGCTACGCTAACAGCGCGCTGAACCCCGTCATCTACACCATCTTCAACACCGAGTTCAGGAAGTTCTTCAAGAAGTTCCTGCACCTTCCTTAGAGGGTTCTAGAGACTCGTTTAGAGTTTAGTCCGTCCTAAAGTCTTTGTGTTCCTCCGTGAGCTTCTTATTTTTTTATACAGTGGGGGGAATAAGTGTTTGAGCCCTTGCTGATTTTGCAGGTTTGCAAAGAACTATCTATAACTTCTATCTATCTATCTATCTATCTATCTATCTATCTAT